GGGGGGGGACCTCCATCAAGAGCAGCTGGGACACAGCCCTGCCAGTCACCGAACATGCATTTAGTGGGCTGGCTAGTTTGGCTGCAGGAAGCCAAGCCCTTGAGGCTCCAGGGCTCAGCTATAGCGACAGCGTGGGTCTGCAGCCTTATCCGTGCGTGCTCTGGATCAGGACCACCTTGTTAGAGGCAGCAAAGCGGTGGGAAGGAAGGAAGGAGGAATGTGAGAGCTTGCAGAGCGTCTCACTGTGGGAGTTCAAGCTGCTGGGAGGAGGGGATGCGTTTCAGGAAACCCAAAGAGGCAGGAAATCAAGGGAGAGGGACAGTAATTGAGTCCATATGTTGGAAGCGAAGAATGCATCTGGTAGCAGGGAGCAGACTAAGGGAGAAAGCCCACGCTGTGGGGACAGCACAGGGCGCTCGCAGAGTCCCGTTAACCTCCTGGACCAAGCAGAAGGCTGAATTCGAACTAACCACAACTGCTGAGATGGGTCACTTGTCACTTGTGTGGGCTTTCAGGTCTGCGCCTGTAGTGGCTGCAGGTCAGGAGGCTTCTAACCTTAAAGTTAACACCTTAATCTAACAGTTAGTGTCACAAACAGGCGAAGGAAAGGGCTGTTTTATGACAAAGTGCCTGGGTTAGATCTACACCCGTGTTGCTGAGTATGTACAGAGCTAGGAAGGAAAGCGGACAACAATAACATCAGAACGGGATTTTGCCATTCGTCTGGCAAAGGGAGGGACATTGGGTCCACTCCGCTCTCCAAAAGCAGTAGAGCTTTGGTGCAGGAGTACCTGCTATGGTAGGATTCACTCACTCAGAGGTAAGGGCACAGACAGGGTGATGAACGAGGGACCCAAGCCTGCACAATCATGGCAAGGGCTATCCCACAGGGCTGTGCCTCGCTTAGGTGTTCCTGGGTTCAGGCTACAGCGCTGGGAAAGCTCCTGAGACTGTTTATGGCCTCTCTCCCTCCCCCTGCTTTTAAAACACATTTGCAAAGAAATCTGAAACGTATGTGGTTGGATTTGAGGAGCCTAATGCCAGACCCCGGCACAGCACAACGGTTTGGGAAGGGGGGAGAAGGGTTCTGATGCTAATACCCACTGGGCTTCCCAAGAAAACAAGGGAGGGGATGGAGCACGGGACTACAGCACTGAGTGGCCGCATGGGCTTTCGGTGTGTCATGCAAATTGCTGCATTTTATACAGGCAAAAGCCTCGGAAGAAGGCCCTCGGGTTTGGCAAGGGTCTCTGCACTTTAATAGGCTTTGCACATTGCTGAAGATGGGTTTACTGTGACTTGTCCAACACCTCCGCTTAAAGCTCTGCAGGCAAACCTCCAGATTGCTGCTCTCGGGACTTACCCTCGCAGTAAAGAGGAGAGCAGTACCGCTCGTGCTGTCCCAAGCCTCCCTCCCGGGGAATCCAGCTCCAGAACGTTTCTCTCTTCACCTCTAGCTCTCTGCACACGTTATTAGAAAAGCTTTGCAGCCAGTCCCAAATTTCTGCTGTCCCGAACACCCAATGGCATCTCATACCTGCATTCGTGCGTAGCAGTTGTCCTCTCTGCTGCCGTCACTCCCGGCGTTTCTTCTCTGCCTCCTCCTTCGCCAGCTTTGCACGGCATATCATGCGTTCCATGCTGCTTCTGATCCTCCTTGACAGCTTGCTGCGGAAGAGGAGAAACCGCTGCTTAGGGGCTGCAGGACGGAGAGGGCAGGGGGAAAACGCACAAAAGCAATTCTTTTGAGGCAGGGGAGTAAGAAGCATGGCAGATCTGAGCAGTGGAGGAAACAGTTAAGAATAAGAGGAGGAAAGGGCACTTTGCTCACCAGGAACATATTTCTAAAGGTACTCAGTTCTATGAAGAAGCTATCGACAGTCATCTTCTGGGGGTCAAACAGAAAGTGTTGGCCCTGTTCCGTACAGAGGTCCTCCATGCCTGAGTACACCACTTGCAACTTGTCATCCTGTGTCTTGGCATCCTTAAAGCTGCGAAACCCAGAAGTCAAGGACCATAACCCAAACATCAGGGGGAAACCATCAGAGTGAGCAACACTGAACTTTATCTGCGGCTCCTCTCCACTCAAGGACACAACCACCACCATCGCCAGACCGCGATGCTGAGATGAAGCCAGCCTAATCTGCTGGGTGTTTGGGTGAGGCTTACACCTCCCACGTCAAAGGCAAGACGAAGGAATACGCAGCTGGCAAACAAGTGGCATCTTGCTGGTGCTCCACCTCACGGGCTGGACGGCAGCCCCGTGGCACACCTCTGCAAGCACCTCCTGCAAAAGCGAGATCTCATGGTACAGCCCCAACTGCTCCAGGTCCATCACAGCACCACAACACCCAGCAACTCGGGGTGTCCCTTGGCAAACCCAGCAAACTGTCAACCTCAGATTGGCCCAGAAACTCCAGGAATGCAGGCAGGTAACTCGCTTTTAGACAACTAGTGAACAAAGCAGCAATCCCCTTGCCCAAAGCTGTCAAGGAGGCTCAGAATGACAGAGATCCCCCCTGCTGATGGCAAAAAGCATCCCTGCAGCACTGCAAGATGCCCCCCGAGCTGTAGGGGAACGCTCCATGGGTCACACCATGACAGAAAAGCCTTTTCTCCCACATGACGGACCCTTCTGCTCCTCCTCCAAACATTCCCGAGCCCCATGGATCCCTTCTGCCATAGCTCACATCCGCTTTGAAACTTTTTTCTTCCTAAAAGCAAAAGGATATTGTCAATTTTTTTTCCCCCAGAGATTTGTCACGCGCATCTGCGTTGGCTGGAACATTCCGAATGTCACGTGGCACATTCAAAATCTGTCCTTTTGTCATGTTTAAGCTTTTCTTCAAGTTCTCAGCAGGCGCTTAAAAAAAAAAAAAAAAAAAAAAAAAAAAAGACAACATAAAAATAGAGAAGGACATTCCTAAAATATTTGCTTTAAGCAGGAGAATAGTTTCTACCCTGCAAGTGCCATCAGGACTCCAGGCGTACCCGCTGCAAATGCCTTTGACCTCACTGCCAGAAGTGTGGCTCACGCCCCGGCCCCATTTAGATCCCAGCAAATCACCCCCATGCACCGATAATTAACTGCTTTGAGCAACACCTCGGTGCTCCCTCAGCAGATCTCCCAGGAAATATGGTCCTTTCTGCTCCCGGATGGCTCCGACCACGGGCAAAGCTCACTCACACAAACTCTCCCGTGCATTTCAGAGGCAGACGGGAGAGCTCTGCGGTGCGCGTACAAACCAAGTTACACCAAGCCAGCCCCAAGGCTCTCACCTCTATTTTTATTTTTTTTTTCCAGTATTTTGGTAAGGGGTAGGACACGACGGGAAAGATCTGCATGCTTCAACAATCTCCAGTCCCTAAAATGAGATAAAAAGGTGACTTTGGAGCTGTCATTTAAAGCTGTTTAAAGACTGACGGCCCTAGAGAAGGGTGTGAAACCACCGTGAAGTGACCTGCCCAACGCTAGTGCAGCGCAGCGGGGTTCGCTCGGCAGCCTGGGACAAGGGGTGGGACAGAGTTACGCTGGAGATGTTACTGTGTGTTAGAATCCCAGAATCCCAGACTGGCAGGGCCCTCCGGAGCTCACCCAGTCCCACCCCCCTGCTCAAGCAGGCTCACCCAGAGCAGGGGGCACAGGACAGCATCAGGTGGGGG